TGTTTCGACGCACTCTAAACATGTTTTGACGCACGATAAAAAAGTTTCGATGCACTCTAAAAATGTTTGAATGCACACTAAACATGTTTGGATGCACTCTAAACATGTTTGGATGCACTCTGAACATGTTTTGACGCACTCTAAAAAAAGTTTCGATCCACTCTAAACATGTTTGGACGGACTCTAAACATGTTTGGATGCACTCTAAACATGTTTTGACGCACTCTAAAAATGTATGGATGCTCTCTAAACATGTTTGGATGCACTCTAAATATGTTTGGATGCACTCTAAATGAGTTTGGATGCACTCTAAACGTGTTTTGGTGCATTCAAAACATGTTTAGACGAACTCAGAACATGTTTCGACGCACTCTAAATATGTTTCGACGAACTCTATGTTGAAGAACAAGGAGCAATCAGCAAACACTCGGATTCTAGCAGAAGGACTCAAGCAACTGAAGACTCAGATTCAAAAGGAAGCTTTGGAGAAAACGAAGACTTGGTTACAAACAGAAGGTTCGAAGACTTGCAAGCAAGGAAAGACTTGGATTCTATTGGAGGCTTTGGAGAGATACAATCTGGCCGTTTGGGAGCATAATTCCAGCAGTGATTTCGAACTCTACAACATGGAAAGGCAATCAGATTACAAGAGGCATATTTCCTCTTTTTTATTATATTCACACACTACTTGCCTTTACATTACCATTAGCATATTTGGTTTCCTTTACTATATCTGTACAGATCATGCATATAAGAATGTATGTATTCATGAGAATAATAAGAATTGAGTAACCTAACCTTCTGGTTACACTTTCTTCCAATTTCGTGTTCTTCTCTTCTCTTAATCATAAACTCGATTCTCAGCAAGTTTAGCTTGTTTGATCAACCTTAGCTCAGATTTCTTTACTCTAAACATATTAATTTGGATACACTCTAAGTATGTTTTGACGTACTCTAAACATGTTTTGATGCACTCTAAATTTATTTGGATGCACTCTAAACGTGTTTTGGTGCCCTCAAAACATGTTGAGACGAATTCTAAACAAGTAAACAGACTTAGAGTGCATCCAAAGATGTTTAGAGTTCGTCGAAACATATTTAGAGTGCATCGAAACATGTTTCGAGTTCGTCTAAACATGTTTTGAATGCACCAAAACACGTTTAGAGTGCATCCAAA